AAAATCATGTTAATCTAAACGCCTACTGTAGCAGTACAGTAAGAAGCTATCTCGCGAAGAGTACGTGATTTTCATGATTAGAAGGTCGGATAATCCTTATAGATAGATAGTTTTCCGACAGTTATCTAACAATCATGGACTCTTCGAAGTTTGCTAGCCATTTACACCCTCACAGCAAAGCACTTTCTGCGCATTTTGTATGTTACTAGAAACTCGAAAAGTAGCTTTGCTCTATCGAGCGATGTTGTTTTCAAAACAATGAGTAACCCATCAAAGCAAAAACCTGGAAAAATTGGTGAAAAATTACTGCCTACTGTATACCCACCTACCCTGAGAAACTACGGTACTCCTATTTATATTGCGGCGACTTTTTTGACGAGTTATGAGCGGTATTATATACGATGTTTCAAAATCTATTTTGCACCAATAATTGGTTGACTTAGGCATATATTGTGCAAGTGCATATTATTCTCGGAGATGATAAGATCGTATTGCATTATTACTTTGTGGGCTTATCTGAAAGGTCCATCATCATGCAGCATTGCGTAAGGATTTGGCAGAGTTTGAGCTATGTTGGGCATAGCTTCTTCGTTCATGCCTTGTCTCATCATCAATTTAGGCCCGTATGCACGTAAGTCCCCGCTGGGGAGGGAAGAGGAGCTGGATCCCCAGGGGAACGATTCCCTCCGTCGAACCCCGCCATGACAGAGGGGAGGGGAGCGATCCCCTCCTCTGCACCTAAGCGGGGATGGTGTGAATGGTTTCAGAGGTATTGTTCGAGCGAACCCCAGTGCATACTTTCGAATGGGGGAGGAGATCCCTTCCCCTCCCCCACTCGAACCCCGTATGCGCGAATTCAACTCAATAACGCGGGGGAGGGATCGACATCCCCTACAACGGGGTAGATTGGTTAAGGTTAAAGATTCGATGGTGTAGGTCAAGCCAGAGAAGAGAGTACTCTGCTTTCAATCAGTTATTACAAAGCATTTCGTTCAAATTGATGAAAGGTTTTCTACGGGAGCCGGGTTCCTCTCTCAGCGACCTGTAGCTTGCAGTTTTAACTCTCTCTTCCATATTCGCTTCTTGTAAAGAAATCCGGACATATATCTGCCAGTTTCGAATATCTGTAGAAGGTGTGACCATTCACGAGAGTTGCGCATTTTTTTATTTGATGTACAACATATTGTAACTATCACATTATATGATAAATTGTTCTTATCTTGTTATCCTAACGTAAAATTGCTTTGAATAAAATGAAAATTAGCAGACTCGCGCGTTTCTGAGTAAAGATCCTCGGGGGAATAATCCCTTCCCCATCGCTCCCCTCGTGCATAGCAGGAATGGCCGCTGGGGATATTCCCCTGGGATAAAGGACGATATGCAGCTGATAGCTACAGCGCTTATGGAGAGCTGGCACGATTTGCAGGTTTGAATGTCCGCGGCACCCCCCCCCCCCCTTTTTTTCGGCAGCATAACGTCTTCTACCCATTCACTGCATATACATACACCTTGACTTCTATCATTGAACACCTTTAAGCTGAAATGGGCAGCATGGGCGAAATTGAGCAGCATCCATGAAAGCAGCTGGAATATAATGGATATAGGAAATATTTCTTTAGTGTGGCGATCGCAATCACGGCAGACGGCATTCCGCAACGACTAAATATCGCCGAGACACATTGGAAGCGAGTAGCTATCGAAAGTTAAGAAAAAAGGAATAATTACTGCAAAAAAGCGGAAGCAAAATGAATTCCCCGCTTTATCTCCCCTTCTGCATAAGGGCGCTCCCCTCCCCTACTCCCAGGGGATCCCCTCTCCGGCATTGCCTTTCTGCATACGGGGATTCGCGTGGGGAAGGAAGGGGAGCCCCAGCGGGAATCATTGCAATGGTTAAACTCATATCCCCTTCCTGCGGGGATGTACGTGCATACGGGCCTTAGAGTTTGAAGATACCACCTTTTCAGTAAAAAAGCAGTGAATCCTCTTCTAAAATGCTGTGCGAATCTCAAGTCTTTTTCATGTATCTCAAACCTATATGGGCTATGCGAATGTAAACGATAACCGAAAGTTTGGCAATTTGCTTTTGAGACGATATAAGAAATTGTCTCAGTATGACAGTTTGCCTTCAGCAGGGTAACAACTCCAACAGAATGAAATTATTCAAGCTTAGCTAAAACGTGTGAGTATTCTTAAAACGTAATGACAGTACCAGAACTGCAGAAACCGAAACAAAAATTCCATTTAGTTTACCACTTGTATCAGAAGAACTAAATATGACAGTCAGAGAGTTGATAGACAAAGCAGAATCACAGGACGGGCTACGAGTCGTTGACATACCACCTGTCAATCTCAAACATCAACTTGTTCGCAGTCGAGCCTATGACAGACTATGCATGACTCCCAGCTGTGTTATTTGCCCATTCGGAAAGCAAGGCGACTGTATGGTTTCTGGTTAGCGTATCATCTTACCTGTCAGTCATACAGAGAATCATATATAGGTGAAACTGGGCGCCCATTGTGCATACGTATTAAAGAACACTTAGACAGGCTTAAATGATTGATAGCATTGGCCTACGCGTTGTTTGATTTCCTTTGGTTCACTGACAGGTCAGGCTTGTTCTTGGTCGTGATGTGGTAGCGAAAAATGTTTTCTATGCACTCTACTTTTTTAGACCCCGAAGAAGGCGAAGTCGCCAAAACTTTAATTTGATAAAAAGTTTTACCACTCTTGGGTTAACAGCTGAAAAAGAAGATCAGTGAAAATAGCTGCACTCTTGCACAGCAGGACGTCATAATGGGACATCGCTATCAACAGAAAATGGTCCTAGGAATGATCTTAGGTGATTTGGAGTTGCATGTCATTAGGTGCGTCTTGTTAAGATGATCCCAATCTGCCTTCCAGGTGTTGAACAGTTATGAGCGTTTGAAAATGTGAAATCATTATATTGTGCTGGGGAAATCAGATAAAAAATTATAATCGGCATGATGGTAAGTGCATTGAATACAAGGAAGAAATCTTTGATGGTTTTAAACTCGACTCTCGACTTATCTCTCGACTGTATGGTGTAATTGTGTAGTTTGGACATTCAAATTCCATAATTTTTTCGTAGGTACGTTCAGCAAATACAAAAGGGGGGTGTGGAATCAGTCTATCAAGACGCTTCAATAATACCATTTCATTCCAGGTGGTAAGTGCGACTTGAGATGCCTCCCTGGTTAGAACGAGCACTTGGAAGCAACCATAAGCAACTTTCGAACACAAATAACTTGACACATCGTAGATGTCCCTGCCACTGTGCCTCAAGCGGCAAATGAATGTTATAATTGCAGTCAGCGCCTCAGACAAACAACGTGATCGGATTTTACAGCACTGAGCAAAAAAAACTTTTTACCGTACTCCTACAGTATATTACAATATGCCACCAACAACAAATCAATGTATATGTTGTTTTCAACTCAACTGGTAAACCATCAAAGCAAAAACCTGGATAAATTAGTGAAAACTTACTCCCTACTGTATACCTACCGTACCTCAGCGAACTAAGTCGAACGGTGTCCTTGGATTCGGGATTCGTCCATTCTGAAATGAGATATGGCAAAATCTCCGCTGCTCTTCGGCACACTCTGGCGCACTCCGCGGAGTGATAGAGTAATAGAAACAACATAGTAACAGAGTGATAAGCATTGTAAATCATCCCAAACAAGCAGTTTTTGTCGATGCAAGTGGAACTCCAGGCATAGCAATTTGATTGTTAGCAGGGCCAGGCACGAATCGTTTCTGAGGGTTCTGAAAACGAAGTCCCCCTGACTTTCGAAAGTTTCACAATCCTCTTCGACCTTATCGGAAACCTTAGACCTATGAGAGGATGAAAACAGAAAAAGGTCACTAGTTTGGAAGGAAAAGCGTAAATTGAGAGTAAAAATTCAAAGCAGAGTTGAATTCTACGAACGCACGAGAGTTTGGCATTGGAGCGCGATATTCAGCAAAACGAGTGAAGAAATCAAGGGAAAGAACAAAGGAAAGGCCATGATATGAAAAAGTTTCCATAGTTTTCATGCTCAGGGACAGATTCTTGACCGGAGAATTCGTCCATGTAGAAAAATGCAAAACTTATGTGAACTTACAATAATATGTGCTACAAACGATCTCAAATCGTTGGTGGAAGCGGCCCAGCTTTGGGAAAAGCTTTAATCTACATAAGTTTCGAGAACTTTTCATATACATAATTCTTCCGTAAATGATATTGTATGCCTACGGTCCAAGATTGGCGTCATATGCTTGTCTCTACGCTGTAAACAGACAATCTGTTAATTTTGGCTTGCTTTCAAATCGCAAGACTAGGTCGATGAAGAGCGTCTATCGTGTAATAATCTGTTTTGAAGCTCTTTAAAGCTTGCGCTTGACGGAGTGGTCGCTTTTGGCACTACAGGAGTGTGTTGAATTGTCTTGTACAGTGTATGTGCAATACTCCTCCACGTACTATGCTAGTACATGTACACGATTTTTTCCGGGCCCAGTCCCGGACCCCGCATAACGATATATCCTTTGTTTTTTGTCCCGAAAACCTAGTCCAGTCTGCAACCGTTCGATCTTTGAGCGCCCTTTGTCACCATTCTGCGACTTTGGTAAGATCCGATGTGCCGCACCCTCTTCTGATTTTGCTGAGTTATTTGAGCTTCCTCCGAGGAAGGCTTATTGTGAACAAAGTGAGTAGCAGGCGGTTTTTTAGCAGCCAGATGGCGGAAAACCGTTTTGATAGGTTAATTGAAGCTATTGTAATGGCAATAAAAACGCTAATCAGTGGAACTCAAATTCACGATTTTAATTTTTGCGACTGACGGTCGGATGTCTGAGTGTACGCTCGGCTGTAAATCAATGTTTGACGCCTAGCGCGACTTGCATACAGCTTTGTGTAGAGATCATAGTGAGCAATATGGTAATGGTGGTGAAAACGCTAATCAGTCTCTCGACTACGATTTCAAAACTTTAATGCAAAATTTTATTTGTTTTTCTCTATCTTCTTGCAATCTCTTGGAGCCGTTTTGTCGACATGTGATACACAAAGCAGAACACCACCAGCGGGAGGTTCAGATCCTGCTCGTACGCCAGCACATGCAACTGTTATGTATTTAGAAGTATAGTTCACCGCCACCTGAAAAACTGTAAATGAAAATTTGTTAGTTCCAAAGTTTCAGCGCTAGCTAGCAAATGTGATCGTGGCGATGCTCAACATACTTTGAAAATTGCTCCTAGAAATGTTACCTAATATTTTACTCAACTTTTTTTATCAAATTATCCAAACCTGCAAAAACACTCAATGGCTGTTGCTCTTGGCTCAAATCGTAGCACAATCTATCGTTTATGATTCCTGATTCCTGATTTGGTTCGTCGGAAACTACGGACACGGTCCAATGTTTTCAAAAGTTGATGCAAAAATAATGGCCGTTTTGCGAATTTTCATTTTGACGTGCTATAATATTTTGGAGTCTACGTTTCTGAATACGATAAAAACTGCTGTTAAAAGCAGCAGACCATTTACAATCCAGCGCACATTCATTTATGCTAATATCTCACACGTGCAGAAAAACATGGATAGGTAAACAAAAAAGTTTTTTCTAAAACCCTGCTTTTAACAAGTAATAATTCCGTTCAGATTCTTACTATAGATGACAATTAGCCTATCTTGTTACAGGAAGCCAGTGGTACAAAAGACGATAGAAAGGGTTCAGACAAAAATTTGTGGAAAGAAAAATCAAAATCCAAAGTTGTCTGCTTTTTTGAACGTTTTTTCAGTAGGCCTTGAAGTCCCGAATATAGGAATTTTAATTTTCTGCGTACTAACAGTGGAATGTTTTGGCAAAAACTGTCGAAGGTATACTTTAACCTTACCGAAATGAGCAAAGCTTTGGCAACTGCCTTCAAAAGGCATGTTGGGTCATGAATATACGTAATCCATATTAAGGCGCTGACATCTCAATCTAGTTTACTTCTTAGGAAGTAATCAAGCATGTGTAATGTAAAGAATTTTTTTCACATACTCTAGCTAAATATCTCAATGGTATGCACATCTGTTTCGAATAGAGAATCTTGATGGAAAAACGTTTTGGGAAAAAAGCTTCAAAAACGGTTATCACTTTTGCATCATACAAAGTAAAACAAAAAGAGCCTAACTTCAAGCGCAGAAGACAGCATAGAACTCGATAGAAACTGGCTGTGACGACCTCCCCAAACGTATGTTTTAAACGCCAGTTTAGATAGTACTTCAAACTTTTTTGGACTAATCCTTTCGCAATTCACGCTTTCGTTTGCGTGAAAATTGGCAACGAATCAAAGAGCAAGTAGTTCAAATCTTTTTTGCACATTGAGTCAAATGGGACTTGAAGTCTAAACGCAGATTATGTGTCGAATCTCTAAAGCATTCTTCCTCCACGAGATCAAACATGACAATCAAAATGGTTGTTTTCTTGATAGCCTTATTGCGTTTAGTGGCACAGAAACTGCTGCGCGCACGTCTTGTCTAAACAAGCCCTATTGAAAAATGCACTTCTCGCGTCTTCGGGCTACGTCTTCTTTATATGATTGACTAGCTTGCTTATCCGGCTCCGCTTGGCCCTGTCAAAACACTGTACTAAAGGTCCCATCCTTATCCCTGTACAGCCTTTCCCTGTGCCCACTTCTACACTTCATCTCCCGTTCCTGTGTTGTTCTCGAAGTCAGCATGCCCACTTACCCTCCTGTGCCAACTCCCAGCCCTTTAGCTCAAATTTCGAAAAAATCGATAAAATCGATAAAAGTAATAGGTAATACCAAAAACTAATATTGTACATGATATCAAAAAAAAAACAGTTATTTCTTTAATTACACCCTTCAATAAAGCGACTTCAGTACGTACCCAATTTTTCAAGTAGTAGAGCAAATTTTTTACACTTCAGAAAATTTCGACGAAAAAGCGAAGCGCAACTTCTTGGACACCCGCAGTTTTCCTACCATAATTACCTCATATTCTCAAACAATTAAATCCCAAACATTTTTCTAAATCGAAATTCTCGTCCAGCGAAAGCCCCTTAAACACGTCTGAGTTCTGTTAGCGCCCGTAGTAATCCCCCCTCCAACATGGCGGCAGGTCTCACCGGGATGTCGCAGGCACCTTGCCGTGAAATCGCCAGAAACTAAGATCCCAAATCTAGGCCATTTAAAGCCTTTTTTTCAAGAAAATTCCCGGATGAAGGTGCCAACGCGACTCTGAAGAAACCGACGTTTGAAGTTCCAAGAATCTTCCTATAGAAAAATATTGGGAAGAGTAACAGATGGAGTTGCCAAAAGCTTGTCGAAATTTGCGTGGTGGCAGCTGCTGGAAGATCAGAAAGCACGAGTAATAACATGCTCTCTTATGACGTGCCCATGCACGTCGAAGTGAGTGCATCTTGCTGGCGGCGTCTGCGAATTTGGGTAGTGCGGCATATCACACATTTTGCACCAAACAAACAGATAAAACTTCACTTTTCCGAAATGTCATCATTTCTATCGTCATACGAAGTTTTTCTGATTGAATTTATGATTTGTATGGAAAAAGAATCTGACATTACGCAAAACTCTAGCAGGATCGCCTTCTCTTTGCCTTTACAAACTTTTTTTGCAAAATTCTGTTTTATTGCATCCATATCAGTCATTAATCTTTCAGATCGACGCCTATCACGTAATGTATTGATCATGCCCTCTTACAGGGGCCACCTGTTTGTGCGTTCCTGCTATTGTTTTGCGAACAGCAACAAGTGACCGAGTGGTTCATTGGTTAGCGCGATATGCATGTTCGAAAGCGCGAGGTGTCATTGTTTGGCGGAAAACTACATCGTCAAAATTCTCGTAGAGGCAGTAATTGCGGACTAAGAAGTTTCAAACCAATAACTAGTCCGCGAGCTGCCGCCGGAGTTGGCAACATCCCGCAGTGCCTGCCAACTTGCCGGCGTCTATGATATTACCAGGTAGTGTAGATTACTATCGGCCCGAAAGTACCGCGATTTTTTCGGCATCCCTAAAATCGAGACAGCGTAAAGAGTTTCACTCTTCGAAACTCTAGAAGTGGACGAATTTGAATACATCTAATTCTCCTACCAATTCACTGCGACTCTTTGCACTTCTTGAAAATCCCATGCTTGAATACAAATTTCGAGGCCTTCCCGCCAAAAGTGATGCAAAACCACTCAGCCATCCCCTATTCTCATATCAGATAAACTGCGTTTTATTTAAATCCCTAAATTTTATACAACAGAAGGATGGAGATTTCGGTTAAGCATGAAAATTGTTATGGTTGAGGTTCTGTAGCATAGTGCATTTCGACATTGAAAAAACTATTGCAAGCACTGAAACTCAAAGTCGTGACTGGCGTCTGTACTGCACTACGCTGTATTATTATACTGTTTCTCGGCTAGAAAAAACGAGATTGAAGTAGATAGCCCAAATGCCGGTCATGGGTACAATACAACTTTTGAGAATACAAACATGGATTTAACAGATACACAGTTTTTGACAAGCTCTTTTTGAGATATGTCAAGTTTAATTTGAAACAGGAGAAGTCGGCATTTTTTGTACTTTGATAAAGCTAATTTTTCGAGTGCATAACTAGCCTGGAAAAATTGCAACTATGTTCATAAACGTCGATTTGAAAATTGTATGCGTGAGCAAATTTAAACTTCCGTAATATTCTGAAGAAGCTAGTACTTTTTAGATGATCATGGATTTTGGATTTTTGCTTCATACTTGGTTCAAACCTATATTTGTAATTCGGAAGCTATCTTGTAAAGCTTTTGTTTACCCTAGAAACTAGCTTCTTTGAAGAAAAGTAGAAAGCAGCAGAATTTCACCAATATGAGGACTTATGAAATTTTACAGGGTTTCAAAAATCTTTGCCGTTTCTTCACCTACTGTGAAAACATGTGGGATAAAAGGCTAGCGCTCTAAACGCCATAACAGCTTTTCTTTATCTTTTTTGCAGTCATATTTTGAATGGAGTATGTTTTCTTGAGATTAGTGTTGGCTATCTCCCGACTGGAAACCAGAGCGAGATTACAGGACTCAAAGTAGTCTCTGATAAGAATTGAGAAAATGCAAAGCACAAATAGCGCTTTTTGGCGCAAGTAAATTAGAATCGAAGCTTACGAACATGTTTCAACTGTAACAAAACTGATCTAGCTGTGCACTTGCTTAGTCGTCATATCCGACAATCCATCATACTAGCATTTTTGTTGATGTAATTTTGTTTGCTAAATAGACTGTAGGTTTCAAGAATCTTTCGTTGTCGGACAAAAGTCTTCCACATTTTCTGACTCAAGTTTTTTGAAGATTTGAATGCGAAAAATTGTGGTCAGACATGGATGTACGCAGAAGCTGTATATCTAAAGTTGTTAATCGACGTGTGGTGGCATCATCACAGCTTTGCCCGTCCTGTGACGAGAACTGGGCACGGATCACTAGGACGGCGCAGTATTCACGACGATGGAAGTCTTGCACATACCTGAGTTATTTGCAGTGCTTTTAACACGAGGGCCGATGTGGATGCTCCACTAAAATACCTGCAATGACATCTTCACTCAAAAGCAATTACTTTAACAAATGAAAGGTTACTGTTCAACGTGTTTCAACAAGATTACGAGTTGGCCGTGAATACTAAATCCTTGAAGATTGAGTGCAGTCGTCTTGAGTTTGAGAATTTTTTGTAGAACGCGCACAATTTTTGTGCAAGAGTACTGAAATAATATGATTGCAGGTATATTTGCAGTTTACGCTTGTACCAAGTGATGGAGATGTGATGGATGTTCACTATTTACTCACCCAAGTAAAACCATCAAATGAAGGCAGAGTTTTGAGGAAAGTTTCCGCATAGGTATTCAGCTCCGTGTCAAAATCCGACAACGTCTCGGAGCCAGATGCGGCCTCGGTAGAATTTATCGGAAATACCTTAAATAGATAGATCTGCATAAGTTCTAAAGAAAAACCCCTCTTCATTCACAGTCAAAAGGTGGACATTTATAGAGAACTAGCTGATGACCCGGTCTCGCCCGAACTTTTACTTCAACCAAGATGGGGTAGAGGAACGAAATCCGCCAGTTTGAAACATCTTCGCGGACTACTGGTCCTGCAACCACAAAGAACAATATTTCAAAAGGACCAGTTGCCAGCAAAGGCGGGCTCAAACTGGAGGAGTTCGTTTCCTACCCACCAAAATGTCATGGGCTTCCAGATTCGTGTAGAGGAGGGTTGCGCACTTCCTTGATTTTCAGAACAAACTTGTTAAACTTCCACGTTTTAGCACTGTTTCGTACTTTCTCCTTGAGCGTTCCTTAAAACCAGTAAAGTCCGCACCCGCCTCCACACGAATCTGGAAGCTGATCATACTTACACTTTTTGACTTTACAATGCGCAAAAAGCGCTTTGTGACGAATCCGCTGCATCTTGTCGATCTAGAGATAAGAATGAACTTTACTACCCCTACTTACATGTTTATTGGAAAATGATTGGTTGAGCACGTCTAGCTTTCATTTTCTTAGATTCAAGTAAACAAATCAATAAATCAATAGAAGGACCCTGCGAATCGCCTCAAAAAGTAACCATAAACCACCGCCGGGGCCGAAAACATATGTGTGCAAAGTTTCAGCTCAATCGGTTCAATGGCTGGCGTTTCTATAACGAACGAACAACCAAACGAACATCCTCACAGACATTGAGTTTTATATATATATAGATGTGGGCGGGGGGGGGGGGGTGGGGGGCTCGTTACCTGTGGACGGCAGCTGAAAGTTGCCGCGACGACAGTAACCCGCCCGGGGAGGCAGGAGAGTCGTGCATATTTGTGCGTCTTAGATCCCATTGTCCTAGACTTTGCTTCTTGTATCGTTAATTTTGGTTTTTTTCCTTTCTCCGAAAATAGCTAATTCTAGGAAACTGCTCTGTTCTTGCGCAAGTTTTGTGGTCAAACTTCAAATAACTAATAAAAACTAATACAAACATAGTTTGTAACCACAACTAGGGACGAAAATCTTTGGATTGTGAGTTATAGCCAAGTTTCACTTACTGCCAGCCTGCCGCGCGCTTCGCCTGCGTTACTGACACTCAAAAGTAACGATGCGCACCCATAAAAAGTATCAGAACGTTACATCTTTGTTGAATCAGCGGAAGGAATTTTTATAACTTCTCAGGAAGCTTTCCTCGTTATTATCTGGAAGGACCCAGTATATAAAAAATGGAAGATGAAGTGACGTTACAGAACTGTCTTTATACATATGTTTACTCATGTCTATGAAGGCGAAATTAATGCCAATGATAAGCCTTCCATTCCTTCCTCATTCAAGCCAAATGTGGAACTTCGCACCAATTAATAGAATAGAGCAAAACGAAGAGCGCAAAAAATCTGTGGGACGACCTGATCCTCATAGAATTTGTAGTATACTGTGTGGGACTCACCGCTTGCAAATCCTTGAGCAACTCAGCCTCAGGGTCAACGGGAGAGGGCTTTTTCTGCTAAATTTAATTATTATCATAAATTATCTGGAGAACATGAGCGCTACCTTGTCAGAGTTTTTCGCCGGCTCTTTCTCGGTTTTAGAAGATTGCTTTGTCGACTTAATCTTCACAGTTAGAAAAGTTTTCAGAGTACCTAACTTTACCTCTGCTTTTAAGACTTTTGCAAGCTGAGCTTCTTTATCTGCGGGTATTTCGTGTGGTAGTGCCAAGTCCAAATCCAGCTGAATTCAACTATTCAAGGCAACATAGAGACTGTAGAACCTGAGTATTACCCCCTTCGTCTCCGGTAGCTCCGCACCGCCTCCATCATTATCTTCTTCTTCTTCTTCTTCTTCTTCTTCTTCTTCTTCATCCTCTTCTTCTTCCTTTTTAGGCTAATCAATTTCATCCTTTTTTTAGGTCTTTACGCTCGCCATTTTTAAAATCCGCTTCAGAGGGTGGAAGACTTTTCATACGATCGAGAGTTTTGCACCATCTTCACACCACCTCACACCTAATTCGCACTTCTTAACCAACCTAGTCATTCAGATTCTCCACTAGGGTTGAGGAAGGTGGGGGGGGGGGGAGGAGCTTTTCATATGAAGGTTTCCTAGTTTTTGACATTTTGATGGTATCCCGAGATGCTAATATTGCAACCATATAATTTACAGTTGAGAAAATCTTTATTATCAAAAATGTGTTGAATATTTGCAAGGGATTTGATTCACAATCATAATTTTTCTTCTAAGCAAAAATTCAAAGTACTTTCATTTTTTGTCTCTTCCAGTTCATGCGATAAATTCAAATAGGCAGCATGTAATATTTCCCAAATTAAAAATGTCGATTTAGGAATTAATAAGGAATTCTGTAGAATTTACAGTGTGGACTCAGTCTCTGTTAAGATAATGAAGCTGCAAGGCAAGAAAGTGCAATGAGTTCATTCTCGATCATTCCCCACAACTGTAGGAGTTTGTACCAAAAGGGAAATCCACGTTATAATGCAGACTTGTGATAACATTCGCATTTTTCTTGAAGATTGAGTACCTTGACAGGAAAAATGGTAGATAAATCTAACAACTCAAAATGCAAATATCGAATGAAAAAGAGAACGGTAAACTGATTATGTGCAGTGTAAGACTCCATGTGTATTTTTTGAAGCAGACACTGATTTACAATTTCTAACTGAACTAAACTTGATTCATTTAGGCACTTTGACAGCAATCAACAGCTGTAGGATTACACGGTATTTTTCACAGTAAGGAGCTTTCCAATTTATATTCTTTAAATTTCCTTTTTTTTTCTGATTTCCCGGTAGTGCATTGCTGATTGATGTTTAATATTTTGGGAAGTCAAGAGGAGCAAATCTGATGTAGAGTCAAATCTATTAGATCGTTGCTGAAGGGTCAGGATGATGCGGGACCATTGTATGAAAAGTCCTCCCGTTCCCTCCCTATCTCCACGTCTCACAGTATACTAGACGTGGAGGTGCGAGCCTTTACATCTAGCCGTAGGTGCTCACATCTCGCACCACGGAATTGCTTATCGTATGAAAAGCCGCTCACCAATAGGACTTGAACGTTACCTCAGTTTTAGTCAGCTCCTCGGCCTTATCATCGCTCTCTACTACGACTGCCGTAGGTCTCGTAAAATCGTGCTGAATTTGATTATCACGAGGACTACTTATAGGATTTGTGTCTCACTCTGACGTCATCCACCACCGTTGCAATAACCTCAGCCTCAGAATGAGCGATGGAAGAAAGTATCGCCATCTAAAATAAGTGGTTCATTGTCAATAAAGTGAGGCAAAATCACTCACACTTACGAATAAGGGCAAAAACAATTCCATTTGTGACTGATACTTTGCCTCCGCCAGCCTTTATATATTTGAATGGTACGTGGCTTTTCAATAGAAGAAACTAGTGATTTTCCACTCTCTTGTGATCGCTCATTGGCTTGGTCATGTTCTTTCCATACGCTTATGATCATGAAAAATTGTACTAGAAATAGACTCTGATTGTTGGTTGCCATGCACTATTGCGTCTGTTCTTTCTCATTCTAAATCTTGAGCCCTCATCCACTTTGAATTTATGTTGATGAACTTGACTTTTTAACAGGGCCTGGCACGTGGGCAAATGACAAGCTGGAAATCGTTTTGGGGCCAAAAAGCAAAGGGGATATCGTTTTTGCGGGCCGGGGCGGAGCCCTGGAACAAGGGTTCCAAGTGCAAGTAAAAGAAGGTCGAAACATGCTTACCTTATACATCTAATTCATCGGAAAATAGTTTTCATAAACCTCAACGCACAGCAGACTTCGCGCGCACTACGCCGCGTTGCCGCTAATTGTCGCTTGCGAGACGTCGCATGAGCGATGCCGTTGAACAGCATGATTACATGATCAGTTCTCAATGCAGGCGTAAGTTATAGCACCAAACTACGTAAGCGAACAAAGAGAGGTTAGTAGAAACAAAGCATGGAATGTTATGGAAAACTTATGTGAATGGGAGGTGTAATAAGCATTTTTTCCAAAAATTTCGCAAAACTGGTAAATGAAGATGTGAATTCAAATGGCTCCTTTGCAGCGCACAGATGACCATACGATATGAAACTTGGTATTTACATGAACACGGGCCCTGCAGGGCTCAACTTTAAAGTTTCATTAAAAAATTATGTGAAAGAAGGTTGTGGCAAGCTTTTTTCTGAAAATTTCCCACTATCAAAAAAATGGAAAAATGGCTCGTTTTCAGCACAGAGAAAACGAAATCGCGCGAGACTTGGTGTGCTCTCGTTCCACAAGCACAAAGCGTCATTTTTGGGCTCAAGGGGGTATTTGTAAAAACTATTGGGTTCAAAGGGGAATTCGTTCTGGAAAACCCCGTCTGCCCACCTTGTGCCGGGCCCTGCTTTTTAGGCATTTTACTAGTTCACTTACACACATAGTGAATAATTTACTGCAGGTGTGCTATCTCATGATACAGAATATTAGATCTTTGCGGATTCAGATCTAAAATTTTCTGCAACCCTCGTCTTTTCTGTCACTTTTTCCTCTCACTCAATTTTCAAAAGTGCAAAGCTTTCAAGTTGCAGCGCGGTGAAATTTCCGCAATTGCTCATGTAATTGTGCTACTCTTTTCAATCATGAAAAATTAGTTCCTGATTGTTACAGCCACTGCTTGATTTTCCAGAATGCGGTATTTTCTAATTGATTAAGGGTATTTTTGCTCATACACGTAAATCGGGTGATCTTGCAGTTCGTGATCGACTATACAGTATGCGTAATGAATATGGATAATCGCTAACAAGGAGGCCTTCAATAGATAGCATTGCATTTGTATCATAAATTATTAGGTTGTCCCAAAAGTAAACTCCATTTTCAAATAACTTGAGCTGTTTTTGTTTTCTTGACAGAATTAGGGTATCATTCGGTAGAGCGCAGCAAGCTCTACAGAAAGACTACCAAAGTCCCACCTAAATCATAACCTAGGTAAATTTTGGAGCCAAAAAACAAATTTTTTCAGTCAACCTAAAAATCGGATCTCCTTCCAGAAAATTGCTACGGACTTCCAACTTGGTCTTTATATAGTAGACACATAGTAGTACCCAAAAATGTATTTGGTGGATTTTTCCTGGGCTCAAAATTGAGAAACAAATCGGGTCCCAAAATGCCAAAATGCCACTTTTTTCTGGTTTTTGTGTAAAACTTGGTATCTCTCGATTATAGAAGCACATTTCATTTCATTTCATTTCATTTGTACGCTCAAGGCGTTCCATAAAAAAAAGACACATCAGGAAGATAGTAATACAGCGGAAACGAACAAGACATGTAAACAAATGCAGACATCATCATGTCAGTCCAAGTCTGATCCTAATCAGACTAATGTGAGAAGATAAAACAGCTTGCACTGAATATGTTGGTAGGCTAATAGATAAGTATGCAGATGTAGGCATGAGATTTATAACTCCAAAACTTTGAATCCATGGAGATGGGACGCATGCCCCCTCGTTGCCAGCGGAACGATGGGGCATACATGGGTAAGGTTTCGAAATTAGACTTAGTAAGGCTTGTAGTATACAATGACATATGTGGGAGGGGCTGGGGGCGGAGTTTGCCATTTTTGGACAATTTTTGTTTCTCGCTTTCTATGATCGGAAAAAATTCGGTAAAGGAATATTTGTGTACTACACCATGCCTACTGTATAACGACCAAGTTGGAGGTCTGTAGGATTCTTTGTCGCAGAAATCCAATTTTCAGGTGACAAAATTTTTTTCGATTTTGGCTCCAAACTTTACAAGGAAGGCGAATTAGGCGGATCCTTGCCGGTCATTTTGTAGAGCTTGATCTGCTCTATGGAATGATACCTTAAATATACTAAAAAATCAAAAACAGCTTGAGTTAGTCAAAAAAGGAATTTACTTTTGGGACAACCACGTTTCCCAAACTTCTTGATGTGCGCTAATTACTATAACGATTACAATCTCCTCTGTATAAAGCAAATTTCCATATTATTCATGTGAGAGACCTCCCAATTTGCTCATAGCTATGTTGTGCAACTTTGTTGCAAACTTTTTCAGGCTATTGCAAAGCTCAAGCATTTTGAATTTATCAAAGCGCGGAATTCAAATTAAGCTTTCTAAGTACACAGACTAACTAGCATGAGAGCAGTAAAAGCACTTGCCTGTGAGTTGGAAAGTCTAATTTCTGATGTGCAAGTGATAAGAAGATTTGTTTTCTTTCGGTCTGTTTTTTTTATTAAAGTACAAACCGCTTACAGAACGTGCAAAATCTCCTTGGATGGAATTTCGCGGAGTCAGCTCGGCAATTTCTCGAAAATACCCGAGTGCGCAGCGCCATAACTTGCTTCGGAATAAATATATCTAAATTCGAAACAACAACCACTGTGCTCGGCTCATCAAAGCGAATCTTTTGATAAACAGCATGTCCTTGATATTTCGTTTTTAGTTTTTTCAAATCTGCGCATACGGCCTCGGACAGACTTCACGCGACTTAATCGTCGCGATCTAATCGCCAGGATTTCCATTCATTTTCATTTCACATTCAAAAATTTCGGGCTGGAAAAGTATCGCAACCGAACGCAAGTTGATCGGTATGGAATAATGTTGTAACAGTTGTCTCGTCGCGATTCAGTCGCGACGATCAAATCGCGTGAAGTCTGCCCGGGGCCTACGTCTTTTCGTAATGATTTTACGCAGCGCACATCTTATATATAAAGCTGAATGTCTGTTTGTATGTATGTATGTATGTCTGTATGTATGTCTGTATGTATGTCTGTACGTATGTTCCGAATAGAAAATTCCATTTCTGAACCGATCCGGACCAAACTTGGCACACATACACTACGGGCCCCGGCGGGTGTCATAGGCTACTTTTCGTCATCGATCGATATCGATTTTATCGATTTTTATCGATTTTTTTGCTGAGTTCACCTACGGGGCTGGGAGTTGGCACAGGGGGGTAATCGAGCATGGGGATTCCGAATACAATATTGGTTTTCAGGATTATCGATTACTTTTATCGATTTTATCGATTTTTTTGCAAAGTTTGAGCTACGGGGCTGGGAGTTCGCATAGGGGGGTAATCGAGCATGGGGATTCCGAATACAATATTGGTTTTCAGGATTATCGATTACTTTTATCGATTTTATCGATTTTTTGCAAAGTTTGAGCTACGGGGCTGGGAGTTCGCATAGGGGGGTAATCGAGCATGGGGATTCCGAATACAATATTGGTTTTCGGGATTATCGATTACTTTTATCGATTTTATCGATTTTTTTGCAAAGTTTGAGCTAGGAGGCTGGGAGTTGGCACAGGGGGGTAATCGAGCATGCTGATCATCCCCAAGGGGGGTGATCAGCATGCTCGATTACACCCCTGTGCCAAATTCCAGCCCCCTAGCTCAAATTTTCAAAAAATCGATATAATCGATAAAAGTAATGGACGATCTTGAAAACTAATATTGTATTCGTAATCTGCATGCTCGATTACCCCCTATGCAAACTCCCAGCCCCGCAGGTCAAACTTTACAAAAAAATTGATAAAATCGATAAAAGTAATGGACGATCCTGAAAACTAATAGTGTGTTCGTAATCAGCATGCTCGATTACCCCCTGTGCAAAATCCCAGCCTCGCAGGTCAAAATTTACAAAAAATCGATAAAACCAATAAAAGTAATCGATAATTCTGAAAACTAATATTGTATTCGGAATCCCCATGCTCACTTCCCCCCTGTGCCAACTCCTAGCCCTATAGGTGAACTCTGCAAAAAAATCGATAAAAATCGGTAAAATCGACATCGATCGATAACGAAAAGTGGACTGTGACACCCGCCGGGGCCCGAAGTGTATGTGTGCCAAGTTTGGTCCGGATACGGCGGAGCCGGGTAAGCCAGCTAGTCACATATAAAGAATTCCGGTGAGCACTATTCGAAAATGCTGCTCCCGTAGACTATCGAGCGCTATAAGCTGGAGATTTCAATACGAGGTAAAAGGGTGAGTTCTGGGAAAATCATGTTGTCCCATCTTACTCACCATCATCCTGAAATGCAGTTCCACTGCTAAGCAGACGTGATTTTCAGCAGGTCAGATAACCACCATGAGCAAATTTTTCAAGAAGTTCGGGTTATTTAATTTTTTTTGTAGGCTCTGAGCTCGCGGATGGATTTTGGTTAAACTGTTGATGATCTTATTGCGGTGAAACTTCGCTCATAGAGGTTTTCGGACACGCTGTTTACGAAACTTGTGGCCTTAGCGGAGTA